ACTAGGAGGTCTGAAGTCGTCGCGGTTCTGCTGGGAACCTTCCTTTTGGTTAGAGTCAGACTGAAACTGACCATCGCTAAGCGCCACTAGTAGAAGCTCGACGATTAGCTTCGCCCACATTCCATTCAGCTTTCCCGTTTCTTCGAGATGCTAAAGAGAAAAATGTAAGTTTTAGTAAGTATAATGGCCTCGCTGACACGCTAGCTTTGTCTGGGTTTATTTCCTCGCGCGAAGGACAAATATTACCACTGCAGTGATGAGCATCAGCGAAATAAGGCGAAGGAAATCTTTCATCAAAGGTGCAGTGCTTGTACCTCAATACACAGTTTGCACTTTCCCGCCTACAGTGCTGTCTGAACGTTGTTTGCAGCCACAAACGAGTCGCAGACAAGTGACACGCCTAGAAATTGTTTGTTCAGGTAGTATGGCTTGTTGCTGCTGTAGAGGACCGGTACGGGAGACAGGCACGACTCGGACACGAAGCGCGCGTTGACAAAATCTGTTGCCTAGCACCAGCAACCGCGTCGCGTTATCGATCAACGAAGGACTATGACTTTAAATCGTAGCTGCCCCACTTCTTTCAAGGTGACAACCACAATTTCCATCCTTCACTGTTGACCGTCCTCAGTATCGAAGCGCCTCACAAGAAAAAATCACAACTTTACCCTACATTTATGTACGAAGCGGCAAAGCCAGCCACAAAAAATGGTTGCGTGAGAAAGTAGATTTACACGAGTCCGTTGTTTTCGAAACTCGTCGTAAGACACAGCAACTTGTATTAGTTGATCAGAATTGAAACAAGTCAACCACGCTACCATTTCTAAAGGCCAGACATCATAAATATGGGTTATTCTGCTGTTTAGGCTGTTAACCCCAGATGAAGGTGACAAAACAATAACAACTCTACTTACTATCGGTCTATCAGCACTGGCAAATAAACTAAAATATTTTAAACCTTATGGTAGAATAGAACCAAGGTTCTGAACTAAAGAAATATTCGACTGAAGGCCATTTGACCCTAGAACGAAACATTAACATAGAAAAAGAAAAAATGACATTAATCCGGAAACAGTGTATCAACTTTCGAAATTGACGACCCGAGTTTTTCTGGACATCGTCGATAGGAGCACATAGGAAACATGGCATACGCACTGGCATTGGACGAAAGACTGATGAACCGCGGTTCTTCGAGTCTCGCTGAGAGGCAGATTGGCAGAACCATGCTGAGCGGTGTTGGTGACGACCCTGGACACCAGCGAGCGTTGACAATGCGACTGCGTCCGGCGTCGCTGAATCACCACGGCACTGTGACAAGGGGAGGAACCGGTTGCCCAATGTCGAGCCGAAGCAGCAAATTCTCGTGGCCTCGATTCCAATTTCACAACAACCATGTCGTTGGCGTTGGCCATCGCCACTGCAGTTGTCACCCCAACCGCCGAACATCGTCATTGCATGAATTCAGCAATTTCAAACCGGACCAGAATGGCAAATTCCGTTTTCTACCGCGTGCCGCTTCGCTCAACGAACTTGCACCGCCGTCGTAATCAAGTATCCAAAAGTCATAATACAAGGAACACTTCAAGTGACAACAAACCGTCTACAGAAACAGCCAACATAAAAAATGTTCTTGTCATCTTGCCGCACACATCTAATCTGAAAAGAGTTACTCTTCATACGAAAATCCGCCTGTACCGTTCTTCTCTGAGGCTAGTGTTGTTGTAAGGCATGGAGATGTATGGCATCCATTCAGCATGGACTAACAAGCTGTAGCAAATGTGCTTACAGAGAGAAACATTTTTTTAAACGATGCAGTAACCCATGCTTTGCATAAAAAGTGTTGAAGAGCTGCAGAGACAGCACGCATCACAAACCACAAACGTCCAACTTATGCAAATGGCCCAAGGTGATTATCTCAACAAAATCACTCTGATTAGCAGTGCTCAATAAAAATGAATCATTTCATTTAGTACCATTTTGTGACGAACCAAAGCTGTTTCAAACCAGCAACGACTTTGGTGGAAGTTAACGATGAACAAACATTAAATTATCAAAAACAAACGAAAAAGACATTTCACAGATGACATGGTAAGGGCTACAAGTTTTACATTCACTCTGCGTCGAAGAACATTTGTCAAATCAGCTGCAACTGACGTTCGTTTAAGTTGCTAAGTTTCATTTGGATGAATGCTTCTAAATACTTTAACAACTGAGATAAGTTGAAGTTGCAAAATGCTGTTCATTTAGTCGATAGGTTACTAAAGATTAATTTATTTACAGAATTATTCAATTACGACAATTGTCTGTCTGACCGATAATTTACAAACAAACGACTGAAATCACAGATTCAAGTCTGCGATGGAAATACTAGCGTTGCTTGTTTTCGAAGGAGGTCTTTGTGAGACCGACGAACTGCCGTCCATCAATTAGTTCCCACGAAAATTTTCAATTCTTTCCATAATTGTCGACAACCGTGGCAGCGTCGATTTGGGTCAATTACTTTTTAAAAGTTTGAAGGAGCGGTCTTAAGGAAATGCTCGTACCGGTTGCAAGCATATTTCGAAAATGGCATTGGTGTATTTATCAAAAAGCCATGGCACGCGCTAATTAGTGCAAAATACAACAGATCACTGTGTTGAATAGGATGTCTGCGTTGTTCATTGAAATCGCGTTTAACGCTGTACGCAATGTTTGCAGCTGTCAAAGAAAGCAAGAGCTTACTTTCGAAAGACATTGCAAATGTAATCTCATTTACTACTTCACACCGTGCATTTTCTTTTCTCTGCTTATAGCAGTGATTGACGAATTTATTTATGCCTGAGTTACAAGGGAAACCCGAATGGGCGTTAAAATCTTTTTGACCCATAAAATTGCTGATTGATTGCTACGACTGATGGAATGCAGACGTTCGCAATATGAACACTTCTTCTGTAGCAGAGGCGAGAGTCATGTACGACGTTTGACAATATCCATACAAATTTCACATATCTGTTGTCTGTAATTTAAAACAGCCTTATGAAAACTCATCACTGGACTTCTGAAAGACCGGAAAACAGTCAAGTAAAAGGTGTCATTCAAGAGCAAGATATGGCCATTTTCCAGCTTGAAGCTTTTCCGCCTCCAGATCTGCAATGAATCCTTAGATGGTTGGAACATGAAAAAAAGGTGATAGCAGTCTGAAAGGCATATTTTGGCACTTAATGCCAATCTGCAAAAAGAGAAATGCTGAAACTAACAACTGACGAAAACAAAGTAAATCATGAAACGAAAAGAACAGATCATGGCGCACGTCGCTGAACCGTTTGAAGCGTAAAAGCATAGCTTTAAAATCACTGCTGAAATTTTCTATAATTTGCTGATCTAGTTGAATTGGTGGTTGCACCTACTGGAATTTACGCAAAGCCGCTCAAACTTCTGATCCGTATCCGCACCATTCATGGATCATAAAAATGAGTGAATTATCAAGTATCATAGTGATCTTGTTTTATGATTAAGTGAAATCTGTTGCCAACATTTCAGTCCGGAAATTTCTTTGCAATAATTTCAGAATATAGCATTTTGGCGAGAAGCTTTAAAAGAAATTTTGCTCAGAGCAGTAAAAGTCAAAAGAGAAAATAGAAATAAACAGTCATATATCAGCTTGCTCATTGGGAATGTACCTGTTAAAAGAAACAGCGAGAAATCAACCTACAAAGAACCAGTTTGCACTAACGAATGAAATCGTAAATGTAATTCCTGACGAAAATACTATTTGTCAGAAGTTTCAATCTTCAATCATTTTATATTAGGTATATGGGTCTATTTTAATTGTAGCCACTGTGCAAAATTACGTCTGCGCAAGATTCCTGACCTGCTGATCTCAACATCTCGCCCTTATGGTAACAGGCGGTTTTTTTTTCCGTGGGCGGGGAAAGATTCTTGATGAATAACATATCTATATTCTGTTTCTTCTGCCACATGGTAACATACAGGGTGACCATCGATTTGCTCATTACGATGCCCAGCTTAATTCGTAGCAGAAGGGGAAGAGCCAGTGTAAGCAACATCAAGGTGAAGACTATCACTACTATCGAGAAAGAAGCATCAGAAGTAGTAAACTAGAGTTAAAAAGGAGGCTTAGGTTTCTGGATAACCAAAAAGAAAAAGAAAGCATTAAGACAAAATTGGCAGAAAAGTCTTTCTGACCATATATGAAGCAGTGGAAAAAGCGTTTAGCATGGTATAAGTTGGCGTTAAATTTTAGAAGGAACCATGATCCCGACGAACAACAGAAATCAAATCAACTTTGTGAAAGAAACAAGGCTAAGAACTGATAATGCTGAACTACAAAAAAGTTCTAAACACCGGTAAGATTCCTTGCTTTCGATTATGGACAGATTGCTGGAACTGCATTACACTTGAAAATTCATTGATCAGGGCATCAGACATGACTGGTATTAAAGTTTTTATTACCTTCACGCTTCGCTACCACACAAATAGCATAATCATACATACAATATACTGAGCAAAGAAGAGGCCAATTCCAACAAAGAGGGTTTAAAACATACTGCAGCATGGAACGAGAACCGAAAATTGAAAATAGAACAGAACCTTGTTTTATTTCCACCTTCCATGACCAGTCCTTTGAGGTCGCGGAGGCCAACCCACCAGCAACGCTTCTAACGTTCTCGACCCTGTTCCAGAGACTGAGAAGGCTGAGCTTCGGGATATGCCAAAAGGAGTCTAGCGCGAACTCCTTCCTTATATTTGTAGCGGGTTCATCTTGGCCGTCTCCTGGACCTTCTGCTAGTCAGCTCGGCAAAATGTAGCCACCTCGCCTCCCTTCCTGCACGCATTAACAACATGTGACAAAACCATCGCAGCTACGATTTCAAAATCTGAAAAAGCAGCGGATGCACATCACGACTTTCTAGGATTTCAGCACTCCGCATCATGTCAAAACCGGTAGCCCTCTCAGAAAGTCCATTACAGCCACTTGCACTCG